GAGGTGAATAAAAGCTATTCAAACTTTTAATGATTTTTTCAGCTCTGTGAGAAGAGATGCTCTAAATCATAATTGACTTTAACCGGAGACTTGAACTTCTTCTTTCTTATGCGCACAAGTGAGCCATGAAAAGGCCGAATCACGACTAAAGTTCACCTTTAAAAGTCCTGTTTCATATTTTTTTTCAAAGGTTTTGCATTTGGTATACAAAACTTGTGTATAGAAGAAATTTCTTCGAAGGATATTATCTAGAATCAATTTTCGAGCAAGATCGTTGTTATCAAAAATTTATGAACCTTTCTCTAGTTGCAAAGAATTAATTATCTTTGCGAAACCGAAATTTAAGCTTTTGTTGCTGTTATGTTGCACTGAATCGGTAGTTCATAGTCAGGTTTATGGTGGTTTGGTCTGGGACGAATAAATTTTAAGGTTAGTTTAAAAATAAACACACACCCACATACACGCTTGCAAATAAAAGTCTACCCTGAGTCATTATACTGTTTCTTTGTAAATTGCACCATATGCCATAATGTTATGCGACAACGGTTCATAAATAGACAGTAAATCGCCGGGAGCGCGTAAACAAGTGTAGATCAGAAGTTAGCACTGAACCCATTCGCAAACATTCATTTAATCGTACTAAATAGACCCTGATGAAGGAGGAAGATCTGATCTCTTGAACCACCAAAAGGATAGTCCAACAGCCTTAGCCTTGTCCATCACAATGGAGATTTCTTTATTGTTAACTTTGCTGTTGTGTCTCTTAGTCGCATCGAGTGGAGGTAATGAATTTATTTTATAACAAATGGTGTTGAATTTTACTCTAGGAATCTTATTCGTGACTTTTCTTTAAGAAAAAGTGACGTCCATCCAGTTTATAAAAGTCATCCACGTACATCGTTCTTTTTTTTTTCTTTTTTCCATGATTGGAGACTTCAAATCATTTTTAACCTTCGTTTGAAATTCTCTGAAATCTCCAACTTCGTGTATTACGTAATAAGTATTTTACAAACTCATAAGTATGTTTTCTCTGCAAAAAGTTAGCAATATGCAGCTTCACTTGAAAGCGATGAAATATTGACTTTTTTTGTATTTATTGGAGTTCATATCTTTCTCCGACAACAGCGTCAAGAATACAGCAAACTTCTCACCAACATGTATTCATAAAAGACGAGTTCCATTTCCTAGATGTTCCTGGAGTAGGAAGATCCTCAGCTCTCGACACCTATGATTGTATATTTAAATGCCTTTTGAATCCTCAATGCAATTCTGTGAACATGGCCGCTGAAACGGACGCCGTCAGAAAACTTTGGTGCGAGCTTCTTCCTTCTGACATATACAAGAATTCAAAGGATTACAACAAGAACATGAGTTCACATCATTTTTCTATGCAAGTAAGTGCTTCATTCTATGGTGCTTTTTCGTCAAAAACATTTTGGGGCTATGTTGTCGCCTTCTTTCATATACTTCCGTTTTAATTTCCAAGACTATGCTAGTTTCTCTTCTTAGGACCAGTGTATCAAAGTGTGATCAAATGATAAATAGAAAAGAAAATCAACGATGTAATGAATTGTTCTGATGAAAAGACTGCGACTTCAATTTATTTTGTTTCTTACAAATATACCGATAGAAAAATTATTTGCTGGCACAACTATCGTCAGCCGACGTTGGGCGCGATAAGAGAGAATTTCCATGATACTGAAAAATATGAAACAGATAATGTCAACCAGGAAGCTCAAGCAGGTGCCTAGGGGGAATGATAGAGCGAGGGTGGAATGATATGATAACAAAAGTTGTTTTTTAAAGAGTAGCTGTTCTGTTATAGTAAAGAAGTTGCTTTCAAACCGAAATATAGGTTATTAAAACACCGCAAACTAAACTTGACAAGTTTCCTCTCAACTGAGAGTTTCTCCCTGCCAATGTAGATGGCCTTGAAATTTTGTCTTTGTTCAAAACCTGATATGCCAGCTTTTCATCAAGAATGCATTTGAAGACATAGGTATTAAAAAGTGATTTGCAAATGAAAAATGGATTGAAAAAGTCATTTGATAGGGACATGTAAATTATCTTTGCGATCAATGTGATTGACAGGGAGCTCCAGTAGAAATAAATGGATGCCACAGGAGTAACCCATTAAGAAACTTAACTTTGCAGATGCCTTTTTAGCCTCTGGAGACTGGCGTTTTATGATAAAATGTTTTGCTACTTCTACAGACACCTTGCTCTTCTTCTCCATGCCAAAATGGAGGTACGTGTTTAGCAAACTACAAAGAAGACACCTATCACTGCCTCTGTGAAGAAGGCTTTATTGGAACATATTGTGAAAAAGGTGAGCATTTTTTTGTGTATAAAAATCCCTTCCTTAAACAGAACCTTTTCGATGAAAATCTCCATTATCATTTTATTCAAGTTAGTTTACCCAGGCAGAAAGTTTACTTATTTTTCAATAGAAAAAAATGTTGACAAATCTGTTAACATAGATATAGAGAATAATACATGGGCGCGCATAGATATGGAATTTCTCTTCGAGTGTTTAACTTGATAGCTCACGAGTGAGATATCAAGTTGAACACGAGAAGAGAATTCCATATCTACAAGCAACCATGTATTATTTTGTTTATCATATAAACACAAGAGCCCTTTACTGAGAAGAAAAGCCGACTTCATTAATGAATGAAAATAAATGAATCGACAATCTCCGAATAACAATCGTAGAGTACGTTGGCGCTAACTCTTAAGATGGAAAAATGCGTTGAATCATGATTATAAAAACAATAATGGTCGTAATTTTCAATTTACAAAATTCTCATTCATTGACTTTGTCCTTACCGACAGAAGAAGTCTCTCAGGTAAACGGCAAAAATGGGCCAGTGACAAATCTTCTAGTTGTTGATTTTCATTCTCAGCCGAGAGAAATGCTAACACTAAAGCCACTGAATACGTAACTTTCGGTTTTTCTTTCAGTATATTGGTTTTCTTCCCCTTTTAAGAAAGTTTGAACCTCACTGTCTGTCATCAATAGGGTTTTTTTTAAGTGTTTTAGCCGCCATAAAATTCGAGGAAGCTCCGACAAACAACTTGTATTGAGAATCGTGAAGGCTTTGCCGTTCACTCATTAACCTGACCGAGTGGCGCCAAAGGCGAGTGACGCGTCAGCGGCATATTGGCTATATCAACACACGTGAAAAAATACGATATTTTTTCACGTGTGTTGTTACGGCTTTTCTCAGAGCTGGAAATCCCTGTTTAACACCGCAGTTTATGTGATAAACTAATTATAAGGTTTCATTTATTGTAAGCACTATAAAATTATATTGGTGGTAACGATAATATAATAATATAATAATAACAAAAGAATAATATACAGAGGGATGATGATTATAACATTAAGTGCCACAAAAAAATTTAAATAAAAGTAGCTTTAAGGTGTTATAAAGGAAGACGTAAGACCAAGCGACATCAACCTGTAACAAATCCAAAAAGTGCCGCTGCCAAGTACAGTGCACAGACTGAGAAGAATATTTTCCATAGAGTTTAGAAAAGAAAATCCTTCCAGCGTCAGAAAACCAAATCGACTCTAGACACAGTTTTTGCTCTGAATTCTGTAAGTTATTTAGGTAGCTTAGATTACTTTAAATAACGATGTGGCTTTTTTTTTTATAAATGTCCGTAGTCAAACTATCCAGGAACCCCTTTGAATCATGGAAAAAAGATAGTAATTCAAACAAAGTCAAACTTTTTTTTTTCCTTCCAGGTGCGGTTTCATGTAAGGAATTGCATGACGCCAACATGTGAGTTTTTGAGGAAAGCTGCGAACCAGTATTCAACTATGCGATAAAGAACACTTTAATTTTTTGAGAATTTTTTATTGCTCTGTAATGGACTGTGGGAGGCGCAGTGGCCTTATGACGAGTTATAATGGTCGAGGGTCCTTGTGGTTACAAGGGTCGAGGGTCCGATATGGCCGTGTCAATGTCCTTGTCAATGGTGAAGGTGGACTAGCATCTCATGGTCGCCTCATGCCATAAAAACCGGGATAAGCTCCGGCTGGATGAGCCAGTTGAGTCGAGTGTATACCTCTGTACCGACCTGACGATCTATCTGTTAAGGACTTTATATGAAATTTTCGTGCTGTTCAAATTCATCACTTTGTGCCTCTTTCAACAGGTTAAACGGGAGTCAAGTGGTTACTCTTCGCTTTAACTCAGAACCCGTTTCGGTTCTTTGTCAAATGGGAGATTTTGGGTGTGGAGCAGGACCATGGACGCCAATCATGAAGACTGATGGCAACCAGGTTAGACATGAAGTGTGTAATCAGTATGTCTCTGTTTAGTCAATTTCTGAAGCATATATTAGGTGTAAATTTGTTTGCTTGCCACTTCCGTCAATAAAGGTGTTTAAATTTCGCGAATCTTGGCCATAACTAAGTGAAAAAAAGCTTGCAGACGTTACTTCACCGCTAATTAAGATCTACAAAAATGTTACGTGATTTGATTTGTGACAAAACCTCTTACGGTAAGCTCTTGGAAGTTCGTTGAATTCAAAAGTTTCTAACGCAAGCTGGATGGCACAAACCGTGAAAATAGGGAAAGTGAGACCGTGTCCCAAAAACAGGAGGTATCTGAACTATTGCCATTTCATCAAGCCTCGAATGTTGAGACCGGTAATTAAGAGAAGCAAAATAACATTTTCTTCTTCCTTTTTAGAATACCTTCCATTTTGACTCTGTTTACTGGAATAATTCAAAAAGTTACAACCTCCCAGGAGGCCAGACTGGCTTTGATGGCAATGAGACCAAATTACCGACCTATTGGAGTACATCTTTCTCCAAGATCTGTCTTGGTATGAAGGTTGACCAACAGTTAAGATTTATTGTCATAAACCACATGGCTGCCTCTTTGCACTCACTTATCGCTGATGGGCATTACCGCGCCACTTCACTGGGTCGAGATTCATGGAAGTCCCTCCTTGGGTCACAAAGCTCATTGCAGCTAAACTGCAATAGGGAAGGCTTCAACTCTGATGGTGCGATTGTTAAAACAAGAATTGGTATCGTGTCTAACGAGGGGTCGGATGGCTGCGACAGTTGTGATTCAAGGATAGGGTTTGGTAGTGCTAATGGGGATGATGACTCCAACACGTGCGGAAACATAGCTTACTGGTACCCGGATAACGGTGAAAAAAGTATCAAAGCCATGGGATACATTTTCGCTCAATGATAAAAAAGGAAGTAATACTTAAACGCACGAGAACACAAACTTGACTTGAAAGGACCCATTTTTAACGGACGCTCAATCATATGCGTGTATAAAAGCGATTCTTTGATATTTTCTTCTCACTGGAAGATGTAACAAGCACAGGAAATGATGCTGTCTCTCAGTAGCTTCTTATTTGAAAGTAAGGGCAAGGACCACTAAAGAGTGTATTCCTTTTTTAAAATTTATTTGGTTAATTTATTAAGTCTGTTCCATCGGAGATCAATTTTATCGATAAACAGGAATACAATTACTTGGGGGGGCAAAACAGCTCCAAAGCTGGGGTTTTGACAAGTATGTCTCTCTCACAAGCAAACCCATACTGATGTGAACTTTCACCCCAAAGCATTTGCAAGAGTTGCCCATGTAAAAAATAATAATGGTCTATATTGTGCAAGGGGGGTAGGAATGGGGGCGTCCCTCGCCTTCTGTAACTTTCTGCTTCCCCTGTTGATAAAAAAAAATAATAATAAAAAAGGAAAGTTTGAATTTTACCTAATTGTACTCTGAATTTCAGCAGCTGAACCCCACCTACCTCTTTTAATGCACATTATATCACCTACTGCTTCATAGCTCACATTTTCTTCAATATCTTCGGGACATATCGAACAATTTCGTTCAAATTTTACGAGAATAATTTACTTAGGGCAATTAAACAGTTATTTTGAGTTCGTGATACTGAGTCAAAGTCCCCACAGAGAAACATACTGAAGCAGAGCATAACATCCCCTCTCCTCGTACGTCATACGTCAGAAGGTTTGATGATAAAGCCAACTCATGCTGTGAAAGCATGGACGCCGTTGCTTATATACCCCCTAAGGTATAACTTAAGAACGCAAAGAATAGCTTATGGCAATGAGTTACAATGAGTAATTAGCACTACTGCACTTCAAACAACAGCGTTCCTTCTGTTAAAATTTCCATATTCGACGATTTTTGTATTTATTCATTTTATTTTTTGCGGTTTCTAGACAGTGAAACACTTCCCAATACGAGTCGCACATCGATGAACTGTACAAAAACTACCTCATCACGTTTAGAATACTTTGAAAACGGTGATGTGAATCAAAAGCGTCAAAAATAAATTACCAAATGGAACATATCTCCCCACCCCACCCCCGCGATAAGTGGGTTTGTACTGATTGCGCTCGGCAACTTTTGAACAACTTGGGGTATTAGGAGCAACTTTTTGCTGCTCTAGCAACTTCGAGCAATTTTTGCTTATCAGAGCAGTCTTTTAACGAAATATTGGCTAAGAGCACAATCATATCAAGCGTAAAAAAGTCAACGATTTTATGAGAAACTATCACATAACCTGTCACTTGACATTGCCACGCCTATCGCGATCTTTATATCTAACATCATAACGGATAATTGGCTGAGATGACGTTTGGCAAGACTTCAAATAAACCAAGTGTTTTTTTCCATCAGACTTGAGTATCCCTAAATTTCGCCCATATTTGCAAGTTACTGTTTAAAACTAAGTTCAAGCGATTTTTGTTTTCTCGACCGATATTGAAAATTATAGTCAAACGACGAAAAATAAAGCTTGTTTAACAAATAACCAACCAACAGCCAATTGTTACAATTTGGCATGCACACATTTCGAAATTTTGCGATATTTCATATTCTTCTAGACCGCATAACTCACTTTGTCCCTAATATCTCCAGAACCCACCAAATTCTCGCCAAAAGTAAAACGTCCATGATTGACATGCAAGGGAATGATTTTAAACAGCAACTAGAAATAACCGCTAAGCTCTTCTTTGTTCAAGTTGTTGAAATGGGCTAAAGGCACAATATTTCCTCTTCAGCTTGTCAATACTCACTCGGGGGCTAATTAACAATGCCAGAGCGGTATTGTAGAGACTTGGACCCTGTCGGTTGGGCGACATCTAAATATTTTAATAAAACATTTCACGCGACAGGAACCATTTCTCTGTGTGACAGAGATTTGTTTTATCACGTTTAGTCTTTAAAAGTCTCAAAAAAAAAACTAAGAGAATGAAATTCAGCTGTCTACTTCTGCGCTGCTTATTCTTTGTAGCCGTTCTCTTTTGGGGAGTGACTTTCACGCTCCAAGGTAAGAGAAAAACTTGACTGCATTGTATTCGCTTGCATATTTTCAAACTTCTTCTTCCTATATTTTTATTCTATCTTTTATGTTTCGCTATTCACGAGATTCATCACAAAACGCCTCTTAGCTTATCAGGCGTTTAAATTTCCGTAGATATTACTTAAGTTTAATCCACGAGAACATCTAATAAATAGCGAATATATTTTGAACAACTTTCCACTGTCAAGATACGCTTCTGATCTGACGAAAATATGTTTATGAGTAAGCTATTTTGGTCTTTGTTGAGATACGAAAAATAAAATATAAGAAAGAAAATCATGAGAGTTGAAAGGACAGTTTACACTCTGGTAACTGCTTTGTGAAAAGGTAAAGCCAAAAGATCCGCGCGCTTCTGTTGTTTCGAGTGTGTACTCCCCTGAACGTCGGTAAAAATTTCGTTTTCATATTACAATAAAACATAAAAACAGGAAGGAGAAACTTGTAGTTTTCGCTATTGTCAGATAGAGCCGACGATTTCCATATTTAGTAATGTTTCACAATCGTTTTTTTCAAATGTAAGATGAGAGAGTTGTGTTATTTTCGTTCTTTTCCCTCTCTCTCTATCAGACACAAATTGCAATCTGTTCCCTAACCAACGTTTTTGGGCATTTTTGTCAATAAGGGAGGGGTCCCTCTCGAGCGAATTCAACTACTTACTTATTTTTCGCGAGCCAAATATTGGCAAAATAATTTGCAATTTCTTATTTTTGGCGGCAGTCGCATTAAACTAGTATCCAGAACTTCATTGATTGACACATACGTCAATCAAAAACCCATCTCCCTTTATTAAAAGAAAAAGAAAAATTCTCGCTCTAACTGCTGGGCAAGAATGGATCCTCGTCGAATGATTATCTCTGCATTTTTCGGGTTTTTATGGAATTTTGCATTTCTTTCTCAGCATTCTGCGCCTTTGTTCTTGTTATTATTTGGTAACGCAATACCATTCTTCGCAAATCCATGGAGCGGCAAAGGTCGTATTTTCATGGCAAAAAAAGGAGAAAAATTAATTTTCAACTTGAGCACAACTAAACCGCTAGTTTGGACAAGTATTGGTATTATGACAACGTTTTTGTCTGTAGAGCACAAACCAAAAACAAAATAGAAGAATTTTTAAGACGCGCAAACTGCATTACGATACAATCAAATCCACGCCTGAATATCAAATTCTGAATTCATATTCTTTGGACAGTTATCGGTCACCTCGCCACCAAGCAGACTCGCCACCAGCGAACTCGCCACCAAGGAACGATATCGCACGAGAACACAAACTTGACTTGAAAGGACCCATTTTTAACGGACGCTCAATCATATGCGTGTATAAAAAATGATTCTTTGATATTTTCTTCTCGCTGGAAGATGTAACAAGCACAGGAAATGATACTGTCTCTCAGTAGCTTCTTATTTGAAAGTAAGGGCAAGGACCTCTAAAGAGTGTACTCCTTTTTTAAAATTTATTTGGTTAATTTATTAAGTCTGTTCCATCAGAGATCAATTTTATCGATCAACAGGAATACAATTACTTGGGGGGGGGGGGGGGGCAAAACAGCTCCAAAGCTGGGGTTTTGACAAGTTTGTCTCCCTCACATGCAAACCCATACTGATGTGAACTTTCACCCCAAAGCATTTGCAAGAGTTGCCCATGTAAAATATAATAATGGTCTATATTGTACAAGGGGGGTAGGAATGGGGGCGTCCCTCGCCTTCTGTAACTTTCTGCTTCCCCTGTTGATAAAAAAAAAAAATAATAAAAAAGTAGAAAGTTTGAATTTTTACCTAATTGTACTCTGAATTCCAGCAGCTGAACCCCACCTACCTCTTTTAATGCACATTATATCGCCTACTGCTTCATAGCTCACATTTTCTTCAATATCTTCGCGACATATCGAACAATTTCGTTCAAATTTTACGAGAATAATTTACTTAGGGCAATTAAACAGTTATTTTGAGTTCGTGATACTGAGTCAAAGTCCCCACAGAGAAATATGCTGAAGCAGAACATAACATCCCCTCTCCTCGTACGTCATACGTCAGAAGGTTTGATGATAAAGCCAACTCATGCTGTGAAAGCATGGACGCCGTCACTTATATACCCCCTAAGGAATAACTTAAGCACGCAAAGAATAGCTTAGGGCAATGAGTTACAATGAGTAATTAGCACTACTGCACTTCATACAACAGCGTTCCTTCTGTTATAATTTCCATATTCGACGATTTTTGTATTTATTCATTTTATTTTTTGCGGTGTCTAGACAGTGAAACACTACCCAATACGAGTCGCACATCGATGAACTGTACAAAAACTACCTCATCAAGTTTTGCGATATTTCATATTCTGCTAGACCGCATAACTAACTTTGTCCCTAATATCTCCAGAACCCACCAAATTCTCGCCAAAAGTAAAACGTCCATGATTGACATGCAAGGGAATGATTTTAAACAGCAACTAGAAATAACCGCTAAGCTCTTCTTTGTTCAAGTTGTTGAAATGGGCTAAAGGCACAATATTTCCTCTTCAGCTTGTCAATACTCACTCGGGGGCTAATTAACAATGCTAGAGCGGTATTGTAGAGACTTGGACCCTGTGGGTTGGGCGACATCTAAGTATTTTAATAAAACATTTCACGCGACAGGAACCATTTCTCTGTGTGACAGAGATTTGTTTTATCACGTTTAGTCTTTAAAAGTCTCAAAAAAAAAAACTAAGAGAATGAAATTCAGCTGTCTACTTCTGCGCTGCTTATTCTTTGTAGCCGTTCTCTTTTGGGGAGTGACTTTCACGCTCCAAGGTAAGAGACAAACTTGACTGCATTGTATTCGCTTGCATATTTTCAAACTTCTTCTTCCTCTATTTTTATTATATCTTTTATGTTTCGCTATTCACGAGATTCATCACAAAACGCCTCTTAGCTTATCAGGCGTTTAAATTTCCGTAGATATTGCTTAAGCTTAATCTATGAGAACATCTGATAAATAGCGAATATATTTTGAACAACTTTCCACTGTCAAGATACACTTCTGATCTGACGAAAATATGTTTATGAGTAAGCTATTTTGGTCTTTGTTGAGATACGAAAAATAAAATATAAGAAAGAAAATCATGAGAGTTGAAAGGACGGTTTACACCCTGGTAACTGCTTTGTGAAAAGGTAAAGCCAAAAGATCTGCGCGCTTCTGTTGTTTCGAATGTGCGCTCCCCTGAACTTCGGTAAAATTTCGTTTTCATATCACAATAAAACATAAAAACAGGAAGGAGAAACTTATTTTTTTTCGCTATTGTCAGATAGAGCCAACGATTACCATATTTAGTAATGTTTCACAATCGTTTTTTTCAAATGTAAGAGGAGAGAGTTGTGTTATTTTCGTTCTTTTCCCTCTCTCTCTATCAGACACAAATTCCAATCTGTTCCCTTAATAACGTTTTTGGGCATTTTTGTCAATAAGGGAGGGGTCCCTCTAGAGCGAATTCAACTATTTACTTATTTTTCGCGAGCCAAATATTAGCAAAATGATTTGCAATTTCCTTTTTTTGGCGGCGGTCGCATTGAACTAGTATCCTCAAACCAAAACTTCATTGACACATACGTCAATCACAAACCCATCTCCCTCTATTTAAAGATAAAGAAAAATTCTTGCTCCAACTGCTGGGCAAGAATTGATCGTCGTCGAATGATTATCTCTGCATTTTTCGGGTTTTTGTGGAATTTTGCATTTCTTTCTCAGCAAAACAAGGAAGCGTTTTTTACATTGTTGGCACAATATCAGCAGGTTTTTAAGCGGCTAGTATCAGCTTTTAGACGTAGAAGACGAAGACGTCGCTTAAATAGAGCTCGCTTTCCAAACCTTCCCTGGTCGAGGTCTCCTCGTCCAGCATAGTCACGGTTTGAAATTGAGACCATATATCGTACTTCGCTTTCTTTTTTTCCTGCCGATCTTTTTGCACCAGCTGATTGTTCTACAAATTCCCGCCAATGACCGGGCCCAGGGTTCGTGTCGGGCATTCGTTCAAATTCCTCGTTCCGCTCAAACGAAAACTGAAGGTCAGATGGACAAGGAAAAAAATTGTATCCTTCCATCGCAGGCGGCAGATCACACTAGCGGACCACAGTGTATTTTTCCCGCTTAAATTTTACCTAGACATGTCTCGCGGACGATGACAGCTAAATGGTTTAAAAAACAAGATTGTTTGGAGCTGATGTTCGTGGCAGGACATCAGCTCTTATGAATACTGGCGAAATCTTGGCGATCCGCAAATGTTTGACAAGTTTTTAAAATTGGAGGTCGCATTTATTTTACGCTACTTGGTTTTTTTTATTTTTTCTTTGCTGAACCAGACAAAACAAGCTCTGAGTGACCCAAGCCTAAGTACATAATTTGCAAAACTCCACATTATGTTAGTTCTTCTATATGTTTATATCCTGAGATTAGTTTTGAATTTTGAGACCATTTGTTTGCGAGGATCGAACTATTCTTGAACGAGAATCGATACCTCAGGTGCCATGCTGAACGGCCAGTATCCGGGTGAGTTTGGAACTATTTTATTTGGCGGGAATGATTTTCATTATCTTATGCGCATGGAAATAAAGCCTCTTGGACTCACAGTTGAAGAGCCACGTTCAACCAGAGCGCATTGCGCGCCTTTGTTCTTGTTATTATTTGGTAACACAATACTATTTCTCGCAAATCCATGGAGTGGCAAAGGTCGTAGCTTTTGCCACTATTTTCATGCCAAAAAAAAAGGAAAAAATGAATTTTCAACTTGAGCACAACTAAACCGCTAGTTTGGACGATTATTGGCATTATGACAACGTTTTTGTCTGTAGAGCACAAACCAAAAACAAAATAGAAGAATTTTTAAGACGCGCAAACTGCATTACAATACAATAAAATCCACGCCTGAATACAAAATTCTGAATTCATATTCTTTGGACACAGAAGTGTACGGTAGCGAGAGGTTTAGCAGGGAGTCGACTTTTGATGTGCAAACGAATTACAAAGAGACAGGTATATTCCAATACTTGAATTTTCATTAGTTTCATTCACCAGGCGTAATGAGAAGCGCTACGCCCTATTACGCCTCCTAATAACAAATTTGTCACTCTCCACTTTGATAGAAACGTACAGAATTTTGAAATACATCTAAAGAATAAATAGCGTCTTTCCCCCTGAGAAGGACGATCACTTTTTGATGGCTTCATCATCGCGAACGTGCAATGAAGGCGAAAAAAAAAAGCGGGAAACAGAGGCGCTAGACACTTGAATAAGCTAAATTAGCTTCTAAGAAGCCGCGTCTGTATCAATGTTGCAAAGACTGAGTTGAATTAAACAACAATTACAGTAGGCTTCTATTCGTTTCAGTAATACAGAAAATAATGAGAATGAACAACTCGCCCGCAATGTATTGTGGTTGAGCGTGGCCCGTTCAGTGAATATAAAAGAAAAGCAACTAGGCCTGAAATTTATTAGTTAAGAGATTCCTGGCAAGATTAAAATCCAAGATATTACAACAACTGACCTGATTTTTCAGCAAGGGGATATGGATTAAGTGTGAAAATTAGCAAGTAACCTGGGATACGCCAAAAAGCGAATGAGCTCGCCTCGTAAATAGCTGATAGTGTCAATTTTAAAATTGGTGAGAATCACCTGAAGACAAACAAAGCAACGGCTGTTTAACCTGAGGGAAGGTAAAGATTACTTTTTACCTTTGTTTTCCCAGGTCAATGCCGAAGACTAAGGTTTGCCTCACCATTTCATAACAAAGCCCTTGTTGGTCATGTGATTAAGAACCTAACTTTAACCTTGGGACTGCGTAGTTCTTGTAGAGGGCAATGCACTCTGGAAGACAACTGTGTGTCTTATAACATTGGTCCTCCGATAAAAGACCAAGTTTCGTGTCAGCTGAGTGATTCTGATCACGTCCAGCATCCTGATGATCTTGTAACTCGAGAAGGGTTCATGTATCAGAGCAGTGAGGTGAGATACTTCAATCCATATTTGAGCAGTTCCCGCTGCACTTCCACTTAAAAAAAAAGAATTTCTTAGATCATTTATTGATTTTCACCAGCCAGCACTTCCGCAAAAATTTGTTTAAGAACTGGGAACTCTGATCTTTTACCAATTTTGTGGTTAGCTTGTTTTCTTCCTGTATTTGTTTCTAGTCTCGCATGGTTACCTTTTTTCAACTACCATAAGACCAACCCCTTTCAAACTTCACACTGAGCTGGTTGTTTAGCATATTTCAGTTTATTTTATAATTTTTAACGGTATATTAGTAGCCTCTACGCTTACCCAACAGAACTTATGCTCAAGTAACCCTTGTCTTCACAATACGACTTGCTTAAACGGATATACGGAAAAAGGATACCTATGTCTGTGCCAGTTTGGTTATACTGGGAAGAAGTGTAAAATAGGTAAATATACCCGTAAACATGAACATGAATACTAAACCACTTGCTTTACCAACGGGAAATTCTGAAATCTGATTGGATTGCCGAATGGGTACGAGGGAATTATCAGTTGGTCAATTTTAAGTTACAATCTACTTATGCTTTCTGGATATTTGTCAACATAGACATCGGTAATGGCTTACATCCCAGACGTCAATTTAGGTGCTTTTTTTTTAGTTTCGTGAAATTATCAAATGGGTCTTTGTGGTCAGTCTAGAAATGCTTCACACAAGCACAGATATTTTTCACAATCCATGGGCAAGATGGCAAAATGCGGATGAGATGCTTAAACTGCTTGAAGAATTCTTAGGAAAAGTTTTCAATTCTTATCGGAATCGTAGGTGCTTAAAAAAATTCTTATTTGTGTAAGGCAATGTAGCATAGAATATTCTAAACAAGTTTTTCTCTTTTCCCCAGGAACTAGCTGTAGTGATCTGCTAGACTCGTAAGTCGCACTCCTTTAGTGAACTGGTTTAAATCAACAGATAAATCCGGCCGAGAGACTGAGTTTTCAAAAGAACCTATCCCAAAGCCAATCGCGGAGCTCAAGTTACATCTATTACCGATCTAGATATTCTCGCAATAACACTTCTTTTAGCAACTCGAACATTTCTTGAATATCTTTGTTTGGAGAAACTATTAAACGCCACAATAATCTATATCTCTTGACCCAATATTTACTGTATAGTGACCTAAGAAATAATTTCAAGAGACCATTTTTGAAATACGAGTTGTGCTTATACCATTCTCTTGAGATTATCTTCTCTTTTCTTGACCCTTAACCCTTTCTTGACCCTTGACCGAATGAAAGACATGCCTTATCAAGAGAACTTTTGGAATGGTCCAGCCAATATTGATGTGACGCGCTACGTCTTTGACAAATATTTGATGTTAATGGATGGTCCCCCTTAAGTAGTATCAAGGAAGTAGCTTCAACTGAACTCATGTACATTTAGCATATCTAATGAATTATCATACTGACAACCTGAAAATACAGCCCCCTCTGAAATTCCTGTCAATGACCAAATTGGGTCTTCACAATCCTGGTGTGAACAACGTTAGTCGCTTTTGCACAAAGAAGTTTCTCTTGGCAAGTTCTCTCAATTTGATCCAACCCACCACAATATCTAATATGCTGCTCTTGTTGTTCAGGTCCGAAGGTAACCGAGCCTATTCCTTGAAATTGGGACCAGCGTCACTTCCAGTGTATTGTCACATGAGCAGTCTTGGAGCATGCGGGGGTGGTGGATGGACGCTGGTTATGAAAATAGATGGCACCAAGGTACCGTAAATTGTCCAAAACGTTTTTAAAATGGCCGCCATACGGCGTATGTGTGGGTTTCAAGGAGTCCTTGTCGAAGGGAAGTTATATGTGAGATGTACTCTGTCTGATATAAAATTTTGTCAATGCCTTTCCAGTTTGCCTGACTTAACAATCTCAAACCCAGAGGTAACAACCACGAAGCAGAAACTGCTAAAACCATATTTTTCGCGAATATTTTAAGTAAAGAAACTTATTGGCTTAAAGTCCAAGGGATTTTTGTTGAAACATCTATAAGTCATGTAAAGGTTTTTTATCTGAAAGTTTGAAAAAAATCTTCTGTCTAGGTTACGCTTGACTTTGTGACATGCAACGAAAAAAGCAGTAAACACTTCCATTTTGCAGAGGAAAAGTGCGAAATTAATAGGTCAAATTCCTCTTCATGATAATTGAGAAAACTGGGGTCATTTAATTTGATATAAAAAAATGTTGAACTCAAAACATAGATATGTGGACTGTCATAAAGTCTCATCAAATTTAGAATGTTTTTATAGGAGAGGAATTGGTTTAAGTAACATTGAGGTTATCATTCCAGAGAACCTTCCATTATGATTCCGAGTATTGGAGCGACAAAAATTCCTTCAACTTACCAGGAGGAAAAACTGGGTTTGACTCGCAAGAGACCAAGTTACCGACATACTGGAATACACCTTTCTCCAAGATCTGTCTTGGTATGAAGATTGACCACCAGCTCAACTTTATTGTCATTAACAGAGAGGCTGAATCTTTGTACTCACTGATTGCTGATGGAAACTACCGCAACACCTCATTGGCCCGTGACACCTGGAAGGCGCTGATTGGCTCCCAAGCTTCCTTGCAGTTTTGCTGTGACATAGAGGGCTTTAATTCTGACGGTGGTGATGCAAAAACAAGAATTGGTATCGTTTGTAATGAGTGTTGCAATGCAGACTGCGGCTTTCATGATTCAAGAATTGGGTTTGGAGCGGGTGGGATAGATGATTCCCACACGTGTGGAAACTTAGCTTATTGGACACCCGATAATGGTGACAAAAACATCACAGCCATGGGATACATTTTCATCCAGTAATCAAAAGCACGTTGATGGAAGGAAGCCCGCCTGAAAATAACCCATTTTTAGCACATATACTTCCTTTTCACTAGACCAGGCAACCAGGTAGAAAAAGGATGCCTTGATTTCATTCTCAGAGTAAATTTCCTACTAAAAAGTCAATAGAACTGGGTACGAATAGGATCTCTAAAGGTTTTATCCCCTTCCAACTTAGGTATTACAATTGCTTTGTTGTATTGCTTAGCCTATTTCATTTAAAAAAAAAACCGATTTTATCCGTCAACTGGAATATAATTGTTTGTGCAGTGAAACAGCACCCTTTTCAATCTAAAAATAAAGTACATAGGAACGACAAAGTTGGGGTTTTGACAAGGCTGTCGCTCTCGCACACAATTTCGTGCTGATTTAAACTTTCGCTTTGAAACTTATGCAAGAGTCACCATCGTGAATTTGTATCCGAGTTCTGGAGAAAAAGAAGGAAGGGAGGTGTCCCTCCACTTTCGCAATTTACAATAAAGCTTTGTATAGAGCGCTCTACCCGATGGCCTCGAGTATTTTATGACTTAGTTGCCAAACAAAGGACGACGATTTATTAACTAGACGCTTCTTTATACATCGAAATGACTGTTTTAGTAAACTAACTTCGCCGAATTCGTCCCTTTTTACTCTAATTGCGGTGGTTTTATTTTGATAAAAGAAGATCACCCACCACAGCATCTCATTTATACATGAAATGTCTAGCCATTATACGCGATGTAGTTTCCAACAAAGGACGATAATTCACCAACCTGACGCTTCTTCCATATATTCCCCCACCCACCCACCCCCCTCCTCCTCTTTTTCCCCTCTGGCCAAAGCATGTTTTAAGGCAGTTAGGAAACGCCTGATAACACGACAAAAATGTAATGTTCTAGAAATACGAAACTATTAAGTAAAATATGCAAACATTGTATTCAGCATAATGATCTACATTGCATATCACTTTTTACATATATGTTGTTTAAAACTTCAATTTAACTTGGCTTGTTAAAGTTCTGTAAGCTCTTGGAATTTTTACGTTTATTTGATCGGCAGGGCTGTTGTTGTTGACAGTTTACGGCAATTTGCGAAACCAAATGAAGCCAAACGGAATGACTCAACTCATCCTTCCGGCCGGCGATGTTTTCCGCACATAATTTCGTTTTGCAAATTGCACATTCCATTCTTAAAATTACAGATTTCCATTTTGCAAATTATAGATTTCCTTTTCGCAAATTGCAGATTTCTAATTTCGCAGGCCATAGACTTATAGATCTCCGTTCCGCAAATTACAGATTTTGAGTTCATTTGCTTAATTTGCTTGTTCATTTTGAGTTCATTTGCTTAATTACATCTAGTTCGCATACTACTGATTTCCATTTCGCACCTTACATATTTCCATTTCGAAAAACTACAGTTCTACAGATTTCCATGTTTTCCTTTTCCAAATTAAAGATTTTCACTTCATTTCACTAGTTACATGCAGTATTTTCATTTCGTTACGTGGACACCGTAGCTTGGGTTCCTGATGAGTTTTGATTTTGTTTTGCAGTCTGAGACATAAAGTGCTCACGATCGTAAAACATAACTTGTGTTCTTACATTACAGGAAATTATTTGCATTACAGATCTCCAAGGCAGTGTAGATGTTTTTTAATAAATCTTAATCCCCTTTGTACCTTTGATCTCTCTACCTAAATCATATATTTGCAGTCTAGAATAGGCCATCAAAAAATATATTTGGTAGAATGTGCAACAAACGAAGCCTTAAATGATAAGGTTAACATCTAACTATAACACAGGCATCTCGTGGTCCTTCCAAAGATTGCGAGGAAATAGACAATTATTATATGTTCTGAATGATTAAGCTCAGAAAATTTCTTAGCAAATCCCAAAAAAACCATCGGTGGAACTAAACTAACTGGCCGTAAATTTTAAAGACTGATTTCGCAATCTTGATTTAACAATTTCTCTCTGATTTAAATCGAAGGGCGTTCTTAACTATGTTTTTAAGGCTTACTGCAATGGAGGTAAAAGGAAAGTTATTGAAATCACAGGTGATCAAAATATAACTTTCACTGTAACACAACTCTTTCATTAAAAAACAAATAATTTTTCTGTGCAAAGAGTCTGTTAGATAATTGGAAACGAAATTTGACCTTTTTCTTGAGACGAAGAACAGCTGTTTAAACTGCAATATTGCATATCATCGAAAAAAAACCCTCGACGTGTAAATCTTGAAAACATACAAGCCAAGATCTCTGAAGATACTCACAACCTTTCTAGGAAGTTTATATAAATATACAAATTGTCTTAGAGTTCATGGTACGAACAAACCTAACTAAAGATGTCGGAGAAGATACCCAAACATTGGAAAACATAGTTTGTGTTGCCGGCTGGAAAGATGATATAAACAACCATTTGATGATCATCGGAACAACAAACATTTTTTTATCCTTTTTGGCTTTTCTCGGCAATACTCTGATTTTGGTCGCCCTTAGCAAGGAATCTTCTCTTCATCCGCCAGCCAAACTGTTGTATCGTTGTCTGGCAATAACTGATCTCTGCGTCGGTCTCATATCAGAGCCTTCGTCTGTTGTTTATTGGCTGTCCTTAGTTCGTGAGGATTGGAAACTTTGTCACCATGCTCTGAAGATGAGTTTTCTTAGCTACTATATTCTTTCTTTAGTTTCTCTCTTAACGATGACCGCAATAAGTGTGGACAGACTTCTCGCCTTGTTGCTGGGGCAGAGATTCGGGCACGCTGTAACTCTGAAACGAACTTGTGTAATTGTTGTCATCATTTGGGCTTTTTCGATAACCGCTGGGATATCGCACGTTATAAATTACCGCGTGGCCGGCTGGTGTAGCTATGGTGTTGTATCGCTTTGTATCATAACAGCAACGTTATCGTACATAAAAATTTTCTGTGCTCTCCGACAAAATCATGTACGAGGGCAAGTTTTTTTTCCACCACAGCCGGGCAAACCAGTTCCACTGAATATGATTCGATACAGAAAGGCTGTAAACAGTGCACTGTGGGTGCAGTTGGCACTGATCGTTTGCTATCTACCATATAGCATAGCGACAGGACTTTTTCAATCTCAAAATGAACTGTCCTCGTTGGAGTTTGTAGTCTTGGAAAGTACAGTAACTTTAGTTTACTTAAACTCATCGCTTAACCCGTTTCTTTATTGCTGGAAGATTGCTGAAGTAAGAAAAGCAGTGAAGGAGACAATCTCAAAAGCACTTTCCTCTTTGCTGGGTTATTCTATTCAGAACAATTAACAACTGATTAAAAAATCTCTCTAGCAAATTGGTTTTCGCATCAAATTCAATAGAATAGAATGAGAAAAAAGACTCAGTCCGCCGACGAGTTTTCCGGATCAAGATGGTGGACTAACGCAACTCGGAATAGGAGGAATAGTAGTAAAGGACTACAGTATCTTATTGGTCCATGCTAGTAGCAAGATGAATAACTCTTCTCTTCAAAAGTAGTAGCTTGCTCCAACACACACAACCTTCATGTAATTTTACGAAACACGCAAAGGGAAGACTTTGATCGAAGAGCTCTTTTGATGTATGCTTAGGTTACATGTATGCTAAAGATACCGAAAAAAATAATATTCTAATAAGGGTGTTTGCGCTCTCGCTAAGATTTCATTGGAAAGAAGGGGAAAAATTCAATCTTCTAGAGTCCAGCTTCACACATCTTTAACACGACTCCAAAACTGTATAATAAACATCCCCAATCTTTTGAGTCATCCTCTTAATTCTACATGAATCCCTAATATTTGATGTTATGTCTTACTATTATTAACTTTATTTCTAGCATTATTTCTTTATTTCTTAGATTTAATTTCTTTCAACAGTACCTAACTTAAACAAAAAATTCGTGACCAAAGTCACTCGGCGCTTATTGTTTATGTTAAAGTGAATTTACATTAACAATTCCAGTAAACAAGTTCTTCGGTTTGTTTCAGTTATAACTTTAACTATCCTTATAGAGCCTTTGGTGATGAGTACTTTTATTCATGAATATTGTTGAACTTTTGAATAAACAGGACATTATTATGAATGTTATTCAAACTTTTCTCAGCTGTTCCTTGCTTGACATGATTTCCAATTAGTTGAACTGAAAGATAAATATGACTTTCTTGACACTTGTGTCTTTTCCCATGCCTTAATGTGAAATTTTAGAACGCCGAATGTGTCTATCGTTGATTATTTCATAGTTACCCACAGCCAGTTAATTTTTTTGTTTTTTTTGTTTTGTTTTGTTTTTTTCTGCCAAGAAGGAGAATTAAAACATTTGATATCTGAAGTGACCCCATAGGTTTTTTTTAAGGAGTCTCCATGGGGTTTTTTAAACGCGCGCCTGAAAAAGTGTTCAACCGAAAAGAAAACACCATGGGAAAGATTGCGAAAAGCGACAGATTCGAAAGTTTACACTTTCTCAGATATAGATCCTAGCAAAGTTCTGTTCTATTACGTAATGTCTTGTGATAAAGACAATAGGGATCTGTCGAGCAAGATTTAGTTTCTGTTGTGATGCGAATGGTCTTTCTAGCATTCTCGTGTAAATTTCAAGATAAATTTTTTGAATTTCATCGAACAAATTAATCAGAGAAGCATTTGTACATCAACTGTTTGTTCCAAAGAAAGTCATCACCTATAGTCATTCGTCGCTTAAACCTTATTCCACCTGCAAACTGTTATTGCTGATACTGGCAGACATTGTCACTAACGATTGCCATTGTCATTAATGTTCGTTTTGGTTGGCTCATGTTGTAAAGGCCCGTACGACTTCCGTGCGTGGGTTCTAGCCCCAGACTGGAAAAACACTTGGGGTCTATCATAATAATTGAGACAAATGTGCTTTGTAGTGACACTAAAATGCACCTGCATGGTATAGTTTTCGCTACTAGTAGACACTGCTTATAACGATTGCTTTATATTCATTGACGTTACGTAATCGTTCTCTTATTTTTGAGAAACGAACTTAATTCTTTTATTACTTTTCTTTAAATTAATTTCATTGCGTAACATTTGTGAAAAAAGAAAATGCTGATTTTTGTATTTTTGCCTTCCTAGATCATTGCCGGCGGTTCTCGTTTGGCTCACCTTTTCATAACAAAGCACTTGTTAACCATGTGATCAAGAACATAACATTAGGATTTGGAATGCGAGGTTCCTGTAGAGGGCGATGCACTTTGGACGATAACTGTGTGTCATACAACGTAGGTCCTCCAATAAAAGACCAAGTTTTGTGTCAGCTGAGTGACTCTGATCACATCCAGCATCCTAAAGATCTTGAAACTCTAGAAGGGTTCGTGTATCAAAACAGTGAGGTGAGATATTTCGACTGCATACGATTCTATCTTAATATTTGGGTTTTCCTGATACTTCTTGTTTATCTATCCTTTCATAAAAATTCGTAATCTTTTCATCGGCTTTCAGACTAACCCCTTTGAACTTCAAACTGAAGCTTTAAGTTAGGATATATCACTTCTTCTTAGAGTTTTAATAATTTATGAATTGTGTCTGTGAGTTATCGACAGAACTCATGCTTAAATAACCCATGTCCTCAGAATATGACCTGCTTAAATGGGTTTACGGAAAAGGGTTACCTCTGTGTATGTCAGTTTGGTTATACTGGGAAGAAATGCAAAATAGGTAAGTATACCTATAAAAATGAAGATGAATACTAAATTCTTAGCTCTACGGGTGACCACACTTAAGTGGAGCTCTAAATTCTGATTTGAATTCCCAAATATGCAGGAATTGCTCATAATTTGATCAACTTCCAGTCACAGTTAACTTGCACTTGTTGGAATTGTGTCAATTCTGATAAATTTGTTCAAAAATGAAAAGGGACCATTTTGATTATGTGAAGCATGACAACTGGTCTCTAAAACAGTTTTTTTCCTAAATTCCCAGATATTTTATCAAACTACTCCATTCAGAACTAGATTTCTGAACAAGATGCAAATATGCCAATTGCGTTACCAAGTTGCTGGAATGATTTTTAAGAAGTCCAAGTTCCCCTAAAAATTTTTATGTGAGGAACTTTACATGGCATGGTTTATTCTCAACAATTTTTTATCAATCTCATCTTTTCCCTAGGAACTAGCTGCAGCGATCTGCTTAACTCGCAAGTGACAATCCTCTAGTGAACTGATTTACCGCAACTGATGAATTAGGCTGATAGACTGAATTTAAAGACCAATTCCAAAGCTAATCGTTCAACTTACGTCATGTCAATTCAAATTTAAGTTTTTTCGAGAATTATTAGACAGGGTGGGTCTGACTGTTTAACACCACAATGATTAGTTTAGTATATGTCATGATCACGAACTGAACTCAAGAACCCAGCTTTGGAATACGAACTCTCCCTGATCCAGTCTTTCTTACTAATATCCTATCTAAAGCTTAAGTTGAGTTCCTGAGTTGAGTGCTAGATGTGCTGTATTAAGAGGAATATCCACTGGTAAAACACATATTGATCTTACGTCAACAAGAATGATTCATGTTTAAAAAAGATTCGAATTTACTTATTTCAACTATTCTCTCATGTGATATCGAGCTCACTGACTTAATCATCCTATCTAAGTGAGTGTGAAGAACGATATGGGTAACATAGAGGAACGCAAACTTTTTCTTTGCTAGTTTGAAATGATTGCTATACAACCTGTGAGTATAGCCACATTGAAATTCCCATCAAGGCCCATATCGGTTTTTTTTGGATACTTTAAAATCAGCTGCTCCTGTTGTTCAGGTCCGAAGGCAACCGAGCCTATTCCTTGAATGTGGATTCATTGTCATTTCTGTGTATTGTCACATGACTGGTCTTGGTGAGTGCGGAGGTGCCGGATGGACGATGGTTATGAAAATAGATGGGCGCAAGGTACATGAAAGTTTTCAAAACACTAATAACTTCCTATCTCTTTAGTTGAGTCTGTAAGTATATTTTTTCCTAGAGGGAACTCAGGCGAGTGTGGTGGAGTCATGCATTTGCAGAAGAAAAGTCATGTAGCAGATTTTTTTAAAAATTTTTAATAAATAAATATAGCTGGCTTTGAGCAACCATGAACTGAAAAACTGTTGATGATAAACCTTTTTCTAATTCTAATAATAAAACTACTTGTCGGCCTTAAGTCTGTTCAGAGGGTCGTGCAGACGACATTTACATGTCATATGAGGCCTTTTTTTCCAAAGTGTTTTTGATTTAAGGAAGTTTGAGACCCGTATAGTTTGAGTGACACTCCACGTTGAGACATGCAAAGTTTACAGGAGTAAACGCTGAGTGATTTTTCATTATCGGGGCTTGTTTTCATATCACGCGAAAACTAGAGTCAAATAGTTGAAAAATGAAATCAAAGAACTGATATCCAGATTAAGAATGGCGAGAGAACTGAATTGAAGTAACCGAAATTGGTGTTAATGTTTCAGAGAACTTTCCATTATGATTCCAAGTATTGGAGCGACAAAAATTCCTTCAACTTACCAGGAGGAAAAACTGGGTTTGACTCGCAAGAGACCAAGTTACCGACATACTGGAATACACCTTTCTCCAAGATCTGTTTTGGTATGAAGGTTGACCAACAGCTCAACTTTATTGTCATTAACAGAGAGGCTGAATCTTTGTTCTCACTGCTTGCTGATGGAAAATACCGCAATACCTCATTGGGTCGGGACACATGGAAGACGCTGATAGGCTCGCAGGCTTCCTTACAGCTTCACTGCAACATGGATGGCTTCAATTGTGATGGTGTAAAGACTAAAACAAAGATTGGGATCGTTTCTAACGAGTATTTGAATGCCTGCGATCAATGTGATTCAAGAATTGGTTTTGGTGGCGCAGGAGTATATGACGATAATAACTCATGTGGTAACGTTGCTGTTTGGAACCCTGACAATGGTGACAAATACATTAAAGCCATGGGATACATTTTTGTTCAGTAGAATAGCTTTTAAATTTTACCTGTGATATGTACAACAGACCTTTTAAGGAAGCGTCCACCCTGATGGCCTGATCCATTTGCCAGTCGTCAGCATCTAAAAAAATTTGTTTTTTTAAAAAGGCTACCTTTCCGTAAACGTTACATAAAACCATCGAGATTCTTGTAGAGGACTGTTGAAAATTGTAAAAGCCATCTCAAGGATTGTTAATGTGTCAAACCCAAAAATGATCCCTTTGCTCCCCTCCAAAGCGGCTCTTCATTATATCATGGCCATTTTATTGCAGATGCTTTCGTTATAAACACGGTTGAGGTCTCAAATAAGGAAAAGACAAACATGTCATATTCCATCACGTTTCTGATCGCAGCGGAAGCACAGGGTTATATTTTCGTAAGAAATGCGGAAAATGGCGCAATTTCACAGAAGAGAGAAAATCGATGGCACTATGTTTATTTCTTTTCCTAATAGTTGAGTTGGTGCAGGTTGGATTTGTGTGGTTCAGACAATGGCAAGCCGAGTTATGGGTACTTTTGTTGCTATCAGTCGTCGCGAAGCTACATCGCGTCTTACACTTCGACACTTATTTAAGCGGATTAAACTCAGTGCAGTAATTTACTTGCTTTACTTTTACTGATATTTTTAGTTAATTATCCTTTATTTATGCATTCGGAATGCAAAGTTAAGACTAGAGGGCTTAAAGTGTCATCGATCCCCCTTCATAAAGCGATTTTTTGAGTCTGGTAAATCGCAACCTTTTTATGTTCTCTTGGTACTGCTTACCTTTGAAATTTTCATTTTTGACCTAATGCTGACAAAAATAAGCTGTCATGTAGGCTCTTTCAGTGGTTCTATGAAGTGTTTTGTGGTTTTCAAAATTGTTTCATCATAAATCACTATAATTTAGGGGCGTGATGTCGACTCGAACCCTACTTGCAATTCGCGGGAAAAAAAAGAACCTCTTTATCACGTTTCTCTTAAGGACAGACAAACTGTGAAGGGGGCCCTCCGCCATTCATATTTTAAAGCCATATTTTATCTTTTCACTTTCAGTGAATATTTGCCATGGTCATGCATTTTAACGTGTTTGTAGATTTGCTTGAGATATTTTCGTAAACTGATGTGATTTTAGATGAAGCCTCCAATGGTGACAGTTCACAGTCGTTTATATTTCAATCAAAAACGAATTTATGCACCACTGTGAGCAGTTGCTGCTGCACTAGCAGTTGAAAAACAAAGAAGCGTTTTTACATTGTTGGTACATTATCAGCAGGCTTCTATGCGGCTAGTATCAGCTTTCCGACGTAGAAGACGAAGACTACGCTTACATAGAGCTCGCTTTCGAAACTGTCCTTGGTCGAGGTCCCCGCGTCCGGCGGAGTTATATATGGTTCGAGATTGGAACCATGTATTTTACTTCGCTTTCTTTTTATCCTGCCGATCTTTTGGTTGCAGCTTGCACCACTTGTGCTGGCTTCGATAATTCCAGTGGAAGGAGAGCTACTCGTTGAAGCCAACTGTTCTTCAAATTGCCGCCAGTGAGTGGGCTATGGTACGAGTCAGACACTCGCTTAAATTCCTCGTTTCCCTCAAACGAAAACTGAGGGTCAGATGGACAAGGAAGAAAATTTGTGTCCTGCCATCGCGGGTGAAAGACTACACTAGCGGACAAAAATGTATTTTTTCCCTCTTAAATTTATCTAGACATGTCTTACGGACGATGACGGTTCAATGGTTTAAAAAACAAACTTGTTTGGTTTGCCAAAATCAGCGCCATCGTGACAACGTACATATTTATGACAAATGACCGGTGTGAGGATAGTTTCGTGTACATTAGCCGAATTCAACATGTTTTAAATGACATGCAAGTATAACAGTGTATCCTCAGAGGATTTCGGATCGCTCAAATTCCCATGAAAGAGGGTGCAGCACTTGGAATCTGGATGATATGCACACGATTTGAGGTATATGTTTGTAGTTACGTCGAGTAATCCTCCATGAGGATTGATCAATTTTTTTCAAAAGATGACGACCAGAGGCGAGATTTCTCCTCGGGATATTGCTCATAAGATAACATTCTTTCAAAGCCTTGCACGTTTTATTTGTGTGAAATATCTGATTTTTGAGCTTCGTTCGCGAATTGCCCTTATAAAAAGTAGAGGTAGGCCCGCAGAGATTTTTACATATTTAAAAACTAGAATATTATAACCAGCTAGGTGGGTAGTTTCAGTTCCAGAATCGGTGTACTTTTGGAGAAATTCAGATAAACGTCTTCCCTGTTTTACCCGACAACAAAAATGACCAAAACTGTACCGAGATGAATAATCTATTGGTGTGTTCACATTCACTCTCAGGGAAAATAAAATATATCAAAGTGAAGACGAATGATGTCACTATGTATGTTAGAAGTGCTAATTTGTAACGTTGTATTTAGCTTGAGATAGAGAAATAAACATTTCACACTTTTTTTGCGACGTTTTTGTATGAAAGCAACCGTTGTTACCATGGCAACAAAAGTGCTGCAACCTCTAAAAAGGGCATTTTTGTCTATACCCCCTGAGTGCCTAATTGCATGCAAAATGTGAAGGGGGGTTGAAAATTTTCATTTCCTAAGATGTTTGATTCTTACAGAGACTTGTTATTAAAGAGCCACGTTCAACCAGTGCGCTTTGCACTTTATTATCTGGTAATGCAATGCTGTTTCGCGAAAACCATGGAACGGCAGTGGCCGTAGCTTTTACCTCTATTTTCTTAGCAAAAATAGAAAAAAAAAGTATTAACAACTGGAGCACAAATAAACCATTAGTTTGGAAGAGTATTGGTATTATGACAACGTTTTCTGTTTGTAGAGTACAAACCAAAAACAAAATAGAAGAATTTTTCAGACGTGCAAACCGCACCACGATACAACCAAATTCACGGCTGAAATACCAAACTCCGAATTCATATTCTTGGATACTAAAGTGTGCAATGGCGAGAGGTTTAACAAGGAGTCGACCTTTAATATGCAAACGAATTATAAAGTGACAGAGATATTCCAGTATCCAAAATTTCTTGACAGATCCCAAAAAAACCATCGGTGGAACTAAACTAACTGACTGTAAATTTTAATGACTGATTTCGCCATCTTGATTTTAACAATTTCTTTCTGATTTAAATCGGAGGGCGTTTTTGACTATGTTTTTACGGCTTACTGCAATGGAGGTAAAAGGAAAGTGATTGAAAATAGCAGGTGATCAAAATACATTCCTTCATAAAAAGACAAACATTTTTTTTCTGTGTAAAGAGTCTGTTCGATAATTCGAAGCGAAATTTGACCTTCTTCTTGACACGAAGTAAAGCCGTTTAAACTGCAATATTGCATGTCATCGAAAAAAACCCTCGACATGTAAATCTTGAAAACATACAAGCCAAAATCTTTAAAGATATTCACAACCTCTCTAGGAAGTTTATATAAATATACAAATTGTCTTGGAATTTATGGTGCGAGCAAACCTATCTAAAGATGTCGGAGAAGATACCCAAACATTGGAAAACATAGTTTGTGTTGCCGGCTGGAAAGATGATATAAACAACCATTTGATGATCATCGCAAGAACTAACATTTTTTTTCCTTTTGGGCTTTTTTGGCAATACTCTGATCTTAATCGCCCTTAGCAAGGAATCTTCTCTTCATCCGCCAGCCAAACTGTTGTATCGTTGTCTGGCAATAACTGATCTCTGCGTCGGTCTCATATCAGAGCCCTCGTCTGTTGTTTATTGGCTGTCCTTAGTTCGTGAGGATTGGAAACTTTGTCACCATGCTCTGAAGATGAGTTTTCTAAGCTACTATATTCTTTCTTTAGTTTCTCTCTTAACGATGAGCGCAATAAGTGTGGACAGACTTCTCGCCTTGTTGCTGAGGCAAAGATTCAGGCACGCTGTAACTCTGAAACAAAATTACGTAATTGTTGTCATCATTTGGGCTTTTTCGATAACCGCTGGGATATCGCATTTTCTAAATTACCGCGTAGCAGGCTGGTGTAGCTATGACGTTGTACCGCGTTTTATCACATAAACTGCGGTGTTATACAGGGATTTCTGGCCCTTAGAGCCGTAACAACACACGAGAAAAATATCTTATTTTTTTTTTAAGTGTGATGATATAGCCAATCAGCTGCTGACACATCACTCGCCTTTGGCGCCACTCGGTCAGGTTGGTGAATGAACGGCAAAGCCTTCACGATTCTAAATACAAGTTTTTTGTCGGAACTAAAACGCTAAAAATTCCGTATCGTTGACAGACAGTGAGGTTCAAACTTTCTTAGAAGGGGGAAGAAAACCATTATACTTAAAAAAAAACCGAAAGTTACGTATTCAGTGGCTTTGGTGTTAGCATTTCTTTCGGCTGAGGATGAAAATCGACTACTGGAAGATTTGCCACCAGCCGATTTTGGCCGTCTACCTGAAAGACTTTTTCTGTCGGTAAGGACAAAGTCAATAAATGAGAATTTTGTGAATTGAAAATTTACGACAATTGTTGTTTTTATAATCATGATTCAACGCATCTTTCCATCTAAGAATTAGCGCCAACGCACTCCACGATTGTTATTCGGGGATTGTCGATTCATTTATTTTCATTCATTAACTTTACGGCATGACATCTCCTCCTCAATTTCATATCAATATTTAGTTTCTCCATTTATGAATGAGTTTCCTTAATTTATAATTTGTTCTTCTTCTTTCGATAAAACAGGTGATTAGTATCCGACAGTCTAATTCCTAAATCGGGGCGCCACTCAAAAATTGGTTCGTTGCAGTTACATTAAGTTGGCAAGGGCGATCTGGAACAAATGTTTTCAAAGAAAATCCGAGAATGAAATTCAGTTCGTCACCCATGAAATTCTTGCTTTTTGTGCCCGCTCTCTTTTGGAGAACGACTTTTACGCTTGAAGGTAGGTAGAGTTCAAGCTTTTCTTCCTTAATTGATTTCCGTTCTTTTACAATCTTCCCCTTTTTTTGCTGTT